ACACACACACACATATACACCATACACAAACACATATACACTACACACATACACCACACACCACACACACACCACAAATAAACACACACATACACACACACTCACACACACACACACACTGGGCCTATCAGAGGCCACTCTCACAAGAGGACCACCAGATGGATGCATTGGGCTTCCATGAAGACTCCCTCAACCTTCCCAGCCATCCAAGGGCTCCTGAGGTCATGAGGCTGCCACCTGCTCTCCTATCGGCTTAAACTGTCACCAAATGCAGTACGGGCAGCTGTGCTGATACACATACTCTCTGACACCTAAGACACCAGCAGTTTTGAGAGTTGGGATCAAAGTTGTAGTAACTGTGTTCTCTTCTGTAAATGAATCTTCTCCATCATGTGAAACAGAAGACCCTTAGTGGGTTCCCCCAACCTCAGAAAGTGTGTGTGTGTGTACATGCACGCGTGCCCATGTAACCTTTTCTTACCTCTCACCTTTGCTCTAAATCCCTTCCAGCAGCCCAAAAGAGCTGGTGGCCCACACCTATACCCCAGCACTTGGAGATAAGATAGAGATATAAGGACAGCCTGGGCTACAGTGAGACCCTGCCAGGGAGAGGAGGAGCTCAGAACATACTTCCAGGATAAGATGACCAGCTTGGCCAGTCACAATAGCACATGCCTTTAATCCCAGCACTAGAGAGGCAGAGAAAGGTGGATCTCTGTAAGCCTGAGGCCAGCCTGGTCCACACGACTGAGTTTTAGACCAGCCAGGGCTACAGAGTGATACCGTGTCTTTACAAATTAAATTAAAAGATGTCCACCCTGCCGGCTTCCTCCTGCAGCTCTTATCATTTTCTGCCCTGTCTACAGCAGAATTCTGCAGCTTGTACCACAAGAGAGGGAACTGGGTAATGGCTTTGTTGCCCCCTCCCCACTTCTGGGTTCTATTGGGGCTGGGTGGGGCTGTGTCTTTGGATCGGACCAATGAATGTTCAAGACTGTGAGTGCTTTAGTTGTTTTTGGGGGTGTGGAGACCTCCTGCCCCCATCTACATGTTCATAAGTGAGAGTCACACTAGCGGTCTGCCTCCACTGAGACTTTTGGTACTATTTGTCACCAGTGCTACCTGGAGCCTAAACTGACTGATATAGCTGGCTATGACACAAGACCAGAACTAGCTCTGGTTTGTATGGTGTGTCTTCCCAGGTCTCCTGGTTTGGTGTTGATGTCTCTTTAATATTTGCCAAATGAGTTGTTGTTTGGGGAATGTGATTTAGTTTTGATCTGTGAAAAAAGATCCTATTATGGAGTCCAGGCTGGGCCTTAAACTCACATTCCTCTTGCCTCTGCCTCCAGAGTGCTGAGATTACAAGCATGGGTGATCACATCTGCTTCTCGCCTCACTTTAGGGCAAGAGAGGAAAAAAAAATACTAATTTTTCCATTTATAGTGGTGACAAAAAACAAAGCTCACTAATATTTTTTTTTTTAAGAAGTTGACCCTCTGGAGGAAAAGTCTTAGATAAACACCAGCAAAAGGAACAGTTTAGTAGCAAACCTCAGAAGCATACAGCTGGGACCCAGTGTTTGAGAGTCACCTGTGCTGCACCTTAGTGTCGCCACCAGAGGGTGGGCAAATTGGTCTCTGCCATTCAGTCTGGTGGGCAAGAAGTTTTCTGGAATGAACGAGTGAGTTAGTGAGTAAATGAATGAATGAGATGACTTCTTAGGCTGCAGGTATTTGCACCAAAGATGGAGGTATTGGTTTTTCATACATCTCTTCTCCAGGTAATCGCCTGTCCCAGCATCTTCCTGGGCTCCTCCAAAGATCCTCTGAGGATCCCTCTGCCCACAGCAGTCCCAGTCTTTAGGGTGTGGCTGGGTAAAGGGTGGAGCCAGGAGGCAGGAAAAGCTATGTACACCACTCTTGGCTAGTTGCCAGGGAGAGATCAGGAAGGAGGTGGTTGCTATGGAAACCAGGGCATCTTTCGAGGTGATGGGGTCCCGGTATTCCAAGCTGGGTGGGGTCCTGTGTGATGTTTTGGAGCTGGGCAATCTTCCCCTCTTTGCGCCTGCAGACCTGGCTTCTGGCCAACCTGAATGTTTTCGCTCCCCAAAATAGGGACCTAGACCCAGGTATGCCCACATCCCCATTCTGTTCTCCCTCCTGTTCTCTGGCAAGAGCTGCGTCTCCCTTCTCTCCCTCAACAATTCATTAATTTGTTTCCGTAAGCTGCCCGAGAAGGATGCACCCGAGTTTTCCCTCCCCCGGGGTTTCCCAAGTCCTGCAGTCCCCTGTCAGGCTGTGAGAGGGAGAAGAGGATTGGCGAGGCATCTGCCCTCCCACCTCTACCCGTCTGCTCTCATCGATCCTGCTAACCACCACCTCTGCGAAAAAGAAGCCCTGGGCTCCCGCCAGACCTGCTGGCTCAGCCCTGCCCCCTCTCTCTGGGGTGGCTCCCAGCCTCTGCAGCCCCTCGCCCCCGCCCTGCCTGGGATTCTGCAGCTAGGGCTCCGCACAGCAAGCCCCCTCCCCCTCCCCGCCTGCTGGGAAAGAGGAAAGGAAAGGTGCTGTAAGAGTAGAATCAGGGTTCCCTCCATCATCAGGGACTCCACAGCACCCCTCCCCCCGGGTCCTCTGCCCTGCCCTCCCCAGCCCCGTTCAAGCATCCCTCTAGCTCCTCCGCAGAGGACTACACAACAGAGGGGGAAGATCAGGAAACCACGGAGTCAGAGAGTATTTAAGCCCGTGAACATGAACGCAGATCTGGGTTAATGGGTGCGAAGTGTAAACCCAGTGCGGCTGGATGCAGGGAGACAAGTGAGTCTCCGGGATGAAACCATAAGTGCATGTGGGCTAGGAGGGGGGGGGGTCCCCCAACATTCCATTCCCACCATGCAGGTTCACTGCAGTGCTGCAGCCCCACCCGCTCCCCTCCCTCCATACTTGTCTATGTTCCCCTATCTCAGCCCTTCTTCCTTCCTCTGTCCGTCCGTTTGTCTGTCTGTCTCCTCTCAACTCTGCGTCTCTGAAAGCCTGCTACCTGGGTTTTTGTGTCTCTGTCTCTCTTGTCTCTCTTGGTCTCTATCTCTTTCAGTCGTTTTTAGTCCATCTGTGGTCACACCACCACCACTACCCCTCCTCCTCTCTCTCTCTCTCTCTCTCTCTCTCTCTCTCTCTCTCTCTCTCTCTCTCTCTCTCTCTCTCTCCCCCTTTAACCGTCCCTCTGTCCCTTAGCATCTGCCTGTCAAGGAATTTAGTAAAGGTCTACACGATACTAGGCAAACATGGGATAATGAATCCCCCGTTAGCTGGTCCATCTCGGGGTGCTGAAGTCTTCCAGAACCTCTTCTGGCTGCAGATCCGTCAGCTCCCACCCTTTAAACCCCATCTCTTCCACCGCTGTGCTGGACCAGGCACCCGGTTGCCATAGCAACCTGTCCGCGCATCCATTCTCTTGGGACTGTCACTCTCTAATCATAGGTCCCCACAGGGAGGATATCTCCTGGGAGCGGGTGCTCAAGAAACCCCAAAGCGTGTCAAAGAATGTGCTCATGGGCCTCCGCCCATGACAGGGGTAGATATCTCCCCGTCGTCTTCCTTTCAGTATGGGATTCTTCCTACACCCTGTCCCCTAAGCTCTTAGATCTTAGACTCCCCACCTCCTTCCTAGCACCCATTCCCCAGGCGATGCTCACCGTTTGTGGGGCTCTGGGTTGGGGTGGCCATGCTGAGCCTGAGCAGGGGGTTGCTGAATGCTGAGGCAGTGAAGGCGCGGCTGCAGCAGCTGGAAGCAGGACAGACTGATGTGGTGGGGTAAGGTGGGGGAGCCCTGGTAGAGTGGGGGCCTGTAGCCAATGGGGGCCCGAAGAGCCCGCCCCCGTCCAAGCCATCCCCCCGCCCCCGCCCCCGCCCACTGCTGACGTCCCCGCCCCTTCCCCAAGGGTGGGGGCGCCCCCTGCCGGGGCCAAGGGGGCTCCCGAGTTTTCGCACAAGAGGCACTGAGATCAACCAAGCGCTATCAAGAAGGAAAACCGAGTTTTATTGGAGGTCTGAGCAGCAAGGGGTGTCCGAGAGGCAGGACTTGGTGCAGGGGACGCTGGAGGTGGTCACAGGCGAGCAGCTGGGTGGGGAGGGGTGTCAGGTGCCAAGGGGGCTCTGCGGGGGTGAAAAGAGTGATTGGCAAGCTCTCCTCGCCACTCTCCCACCCTTGTACTGTGCCCCTTGTCTCCCTCCCTCCCAACCTCTCTCCCTCCTTCCTCCCATCAACTGCAGGACCTGGCTGAGTTTCCTGGAGCCAGGTGGAGGTTCTACCGCCTGCGGGTGGACAGACCTGAGAGGGACGCAGAGAGTTCTGGGGTCAGGGGGAGTCTGAGACCAAGAAGAAGGGCTCTTGAAAACAGCTGTCCCACAAACCCCCGCAGTATCCCCGAACTCACGGCGGATGGAGCTGCGGAAAGTTCCCTCCTCTTCGTCAGGTTCCCCAGTTCTGGGAAGGGACAGACAGAGGAATTCGGATGGACCAGGAGAGGCAGCCGCTTCTGAGAAGTCCCCAGTGCAGGCCTTATTTCCCGACCCCCACCACGGACTTGATATGGACGCAGTCCATGAGAAACAGGAGCGCCCCTTTGCTGTTTCGGGGTGCGGCAGGAGGTGCTCCCAGCCTGTCACAGTGAAGGCCTCCGGGATGTTGGGAAAGGTAATTGCCATTGTTGGGGAGAGGGACGGTCACAGCGTCTTGGGACTAGTGAGCGACCCTAAGTCACCTTACCTCCCCGTGCCTCAGTTTCCCCATATGCAAAACGGGACTGATGATGGAGCGCACCTCATCCGGGTGGGGTAAGGAGTACATAATAGAGAAGGAAACTGGCACCTGGCGCGTAGTGCGCACTCAAGCATGCGAGAGGGTCGGCATGAAGGCATCTGTGATCATCTTAGCACGCAGAAGGCATGCCTACGTTTCCTGCGCTTTAAAGGTTTATTTCGAGAGGAATCCTGCGCGAGGATCGGGACTGGAGCTAAACTGGGCCGCCCTGTGAGGTGATCTCATTTCAGCGCGGCTGCTTCTGCCCAGCTTCGCCTCACCACGCTTAAGTTTCCATCTGCGGGGCTGGTGGGAGCCCAGCGCCCCCACTGGCTGGGCGCTGGGCCAGACAGAGAGGGAGCTTGACCATCGCTCCGGCCCAGGAGCCTGACTTAGGGCTTAACACACACTAAGCGCTTAATACATGTTCGACTGCAGGATGCAGGATGCACTTGCTGCCTTGCCCCCACCTCTTCTCCAGTGCGGGAGGAGCGAGGGAGGCCCAGAGGGACCACTCACCTCTGCTGTTGGTTGAATTTGCACCGACATCTCTTGCCTGTGGAGTGGGAGGGTACAGGCTGAGATTTTCCTCTTGCTCCCGCATCCCTAGGCTCTCCTCCAAATTAGGGAGGCCGCAGGGGGTGGGGCCTGGGGCGGGGCTGGAGGAAGGGTAGGGTGTGTAGGCGTGGGCTGGGTGGGAGGTGAGGGGCGTGGTTTGACGTGGGGGTGGGGTCTGTGTAGTGCGAGGTTGGAATCAGGGTGGGACGAGATAGAAGTGGTTGGAGACTGAGCCTATGTTGGGCGTGTATAGTGCTCAGGCTGTGTGTTGCTGGGGGTGGGGTCTGGGGAGGGAAGGCTGGAGGCGGGGTGGAGGAGACAGGTGCAGACACTCACTGAGGATGATGAGGATGCCCAAGATGAAGAGGATCCCAGCAATAGTGAGGCCGCCGATCCGCAGGGTGTGGTAATCTGTGGGCAGCCCCGGAGGAGGGTGACCAACCGGGAGGAATATAGTATGCAGCCCAAGGAAGAGGAGAGGGAAGGGGAAAGAGCAGATGTGAGAGAAGAGAGGACAGGGTAGAAGAAGGGGGAGGGAGGAGGTGGTAGAAAGAGGGAAAGGATGGAGAGGAGGGTGTCACTGAACACTGGGGGCCCGTAGGTAGGAGGTGGGGCATCTGATACTGAGAAACCTGTCCAAATGAGACAGGGGGATCAAACAGACAGGCAAGGAAGTTTAAGATAATTAGAACAGTAGAGAGTGGAGGATGTGGTGTGAGTGTGTGTGTGTGTGTGTGTGTGTGTGAGAGAGAGAGAGACAGAGACAGAGACAGAGAGACAGAGAGACAGGGAGAGACAGAAAGAGAGGGAATGGAAACACCCAGGCCCTCTCTCCAAACCCCACAGTAGCTTCCCCTCACCGTAGGTGAATGGATCTGGTTCCTGTGGAGCTTCTAAAAAGAAAAATAAAGATCAGCATTGGAGTAGCCCCTGGGGTCTGTGACAGGGGACGGTATAAGGGGACCCTTTAGGGGCTCTACCTATCTTCTTGGGGCTAGGAGTTTGGGTGCTACTGAGCCCTTGGCAGGCTGCCAGCCTCTTCTGCGTCCTGGAACCTCCGGCACTGGCCTGGCACCCTGATATCTTGCAGGTTGTTCATGTTTCCGTCACCCAGGGAACCAACCACCTTCCATCCACTCTCACTGGTGCTTAACCTGGGCATCTTCCTCTAGATACCAGTCATGACCAGAGCCTGTGTGGAGGCCTCTGATTTCCTGTTACATGGAGTCTAGTTTGGGGTCTCCCACTTGGTTTTCTTGGGGGGGGGCTTTCCCTACCTCTGCCACCCACATGGCTGAGATGCTGGGCACCTCTTTTGGACTCACCTGCACTGGCCATGGAGAGGAGACACACACAGAGAACCAGGATATGGCCGGGAGATGCCATTGCCCTAAAGAGTCAACCAGGGTCAAGAAATGCCCTTTGCTCTGCTCGATTCCCCCCATAAAAAAGGCCTGAACCCGTGGGGTTAAGTCAAGGCCAGCCTGAGGACTTGAGTGTTAGCCATTCGACATGAATGGCTCCCCTGCTTCTCCTGAGACCGTGTCCCTAAAACAACTCTGTAATGGGGATTAGGAGACTACACAGCCTACATAGCAGCAAGGCAGAGATGGGGAGAGGCAGACTCCTCAGGGGGCCTCCCAAGGGCTACCCCTACCATCAGCTGGTCCCAGAGTCTCCCATGGGCTAACCTCCAACCGTTAGCTGGTCTCAGAGTCTCAAAACCTACCCTTGTAAGGGAAGCAAGCTGCCTCAGGACACAGGTGGAAATGCTATGAGACAAACAACAGGACCCAGCCCCACCTGCCCTTACACACCTCAGCCAGTGGTCTCTCCGTACCCAAGCAGTCCCAGCTCTCCTGCCCTCCACCGCCTGCCGCTCTCTCCCTGACCCTGGGTATAAATATCTCCCACTTCACCCGGGAGGAATTTGCTGCACACGGGCCACCATGGCAACAGCCCCCCCTCCAACGACTCGGGGGGTCCTGTATAACACTGCTGGGGTGAGGCCCAGCTGGGAGCCACATCCCCACAGGCCACCCCATCTTCTTTCCTGGAAGCTGTGAGAGAAGGGGGAAGCACCTCTCTCTTTGTCACCTCTGGGTGACATCTTTCATAACAAGACTTTAGGCCAGTGTGTGACAAGCGGCCCATGCCTGAGAGAAGTCAGATGCTGTTTCAGGGACACACATAACGGGCACAGACACACTTATGTACAGGTACACACACACACACACACAAAAAAACACAAACACCCGCGCGCGCGCAGAAGGGATGTGTCTGGCATGGGGACAAACAACACCCTCTCCCCAAACTGTTGGTTAGAAGAACCCAGGGTGTAGACATAATCATATTCTCCTGCTCTGGGCCTTCTGTGCCCCCAAACAGTGACAGAAACAGACTTATACAAATGAATATCAAAGCCTCACCCCCTGCCAGGGGTCTCACAGTGACCGCTGAAAAAGGGAGGAGTCACTAACTCTCCCGCCCCCATGCAACCCCTGGCCCCACACTCTCTCCTCCCTCTTGGGTCAGGCCTGCCTGAGAAGCCACAGGCTGGCCACTCTCGTTCCCAAAATAGGCCTCCCAGCTAGGGGAGCTGAGAGGCCTGGGGGACGCTCACCCCATTCACGCTGTCCCCTGCTGACAGAAGACCCCCAAATGTCCAGCTGTGCACCCTGGGAGCTAAGCACTTTGGACCCCCTGGCCCAGAACTGGACGCGCCACCCCCGCAGGCTCCCCTCCTGGCCACACCCCACTCTTGCCCTCCCCAACTAGCAACTGAAACTGGAGCCCAGGCTGGAGGGGGGCCAGGGGGGCGGCCCCCAGCCCAGACCGCCCTGGCCCGCTAGGGAGGTTAACTCTCTCAGCACGGCCCCAGGATCAGTATGTGGTGAAAGGACACACACACACACACACACACACACACACACACA